CGCGGTGAATAAGCTTTATTTCCCTGTGATTCCGGAAATTGTCGGAAGAAAGCCAGGACTGACCAGATTTTCATCCATATTATTTTTAATTCACAAAATACACCCCCTTTTAAATTACTTTTAAAATTACCTTTATAAATGAAAGAGAATCCAGTTTTCCGCACTGATCGATCAGTTGTGAATGTGACATAAAGGTACGTAGAAGAACTTGTAACTGTCCCCATCTGATTCAAACCGTGAAATTCACCGATTTTTGTAGCTGAAGCAGAAGGACCATCATAGATCCTCAAGTGATCGCAGCAACTCTCAGTATGAAAGCTTTCAATAGTGATTGAGACTGCTGTCGTAGAATAGAGTTTCCAATAGCAACTTAGCATGTTGGAGTACAATCCAGGAAAGCCAGGGGATGATATGCGGCCACAGAAGCTGTCAAAGCTGGAGTACTGACAGTTCGTTTGGACGGTGACAGTGCCTATATCAAATATGAACAAATTGTATCACGAAATACTGCCAAAAAGTAAATAAATAATAAATAATCTTGAAGATAATTCAAGACTATTAAAGACAACTTCATTCATTCCATGGCTGGCCAGAAACAAACAAAAAATAATCAGCCAAAAGGACCGGGACTTACCATGAGGACCAGTCCTACATTGACAGGTATATGAGCCCACAGTGTTTGTGCAGCCTGCATTACTTGGGCACTTGTGCACACCTGTCGTACATTCATTGATATCTACGAAGAACAGGGTTTCAAAATAAATAAAGTAGTGCCTAAAAATCATTACAATAGACTCCTTCACGGTTTACTGCGCTATCTTGAAGGTCGTCTCTGCGCTTCGATTCAAAGGAACTTGGCATAGTGAACCGTGAAAGACTATTGCAGTAGGGAACAAAAATGCAATAATATTAGAAAATGAATAAACGAGAAAAAGAGATGTGATGCACAATGAACTCATGCGTCTCAAGCAAAATAAGAAGATAAGAATATGGCATGCCATTGTGATAAGGAAAATCTTAACTTTCGGTATTCTTCTTAATTAACTTTTGGGATTTTGTGCAAGACTCAAAGCATCGGCAAAAAAAATCTTAGGACTCCCCAAGATATCATACATCTTCCGAGCGTGCGCAGTGCATTTCTCCCCTGTGTCGCATACATTGCGTTTGATACCCCGTGGAAGAAGATAAGAACACTACATCTTAATAAAATCTTGAATTTCTGTTTATAGAAACACTGTTAATCGTTGACAACGCGCAAAGCATAACAAATCTACATGAACTGCTGCGAACCAACGGTGTTTACGCAGTGAGTAAAAAAGTGAATAAAAAAGCTTATTCTCTTTAATATCCGGTCAATACAATAGCATGTAAATACGTTTTATTGATAGCGGCATTCGACATGCAACTCTTTGAATTGAATTGCATGCTAGACAACATAAGTCCCGGTCGGAAAAAAACCCTCACGAGTCGCGGTCGCCAAAAAATGCATTAACAAAGTTATAGTTTTATTCGATCCGTCTCTGTATGCAGTCACTGATCATTTTCTCTTCTTATTTTTAACTTCGATTCTTGACAACCAGAACATAATTCAAGACTATTAAAGTCAACATCAATGATTCCATGGCCACACAAACAAACAAAAAATGATCAGCCAAAAAAACCGGTATACAAGCCCACAACTTACAATGAGAACCAGTCCTACATTAACTAAAAAAAAGGAAAAGAAATAAAAAGAAATATTTTAAAGATACCTGAGCATGAACGGCCATCTCCCTGGTAACCAAGATTGCAAGCACAAGTAAATGAGCCCGCGGTATTGGTACAGAGGGCATTGACATTGCAATTGTGCTTGCTTGTAGTACACTCATCAATATCTACGGAATTAAAAAATACTGGTTTTGACTTTAAAGTTGACACAAGCAATTCAAAGTATACAACAATACAAATATTAATTTTCACACATAAATAATAGAAGAAAAAAATAATTAGAAGAGAATGTAATTTAAAGAAGAGAACAGAGATACTGACGAAATAGGCAAAAAAAAGTCAATTAAGCAATGCAAATACGTACGTAAGCTCTATAAGCTAATATTGGACAAAATAGCCAATTAGTTGTGGATAACTAAACATGCAAGGAAATCGAGCGTAAAACAGTTCAAGGTTGTCTACCTATCTCACATTGATCTCCCATGAATCCTTTCGCGCAGTTACATTGATATTCTTGTCTGTTGTCTTGGAGAATACATTTACCGCCATTACGACATGGATTCTCTTGGCAAGGATTCTGAAAATAAAATGAGAAGACAGAAAAGTTTTCAATGTATATTTAAGAAATTGAAAAAGGCCTCGCCAAACACAATGGAAGGCAAGCAACAAGCTGAGCACGTAAAAGAAGACTGGGCGCGATCAACAACCGAAAAACTGATGAAATATCTCAGCGAATAATTGCACTTTGCACTAATTTTACAAGGTTCTTTCTCCATGTACACATAATTGGACAAAACGTTGTCGAAAAAGAGCATCTACTTTAGTTTAAAAGATGGAAAATTACATTAAAATGACAAAAGCGTGAATACCACACATTGTGTTTTTATTACAGTGAATGAAATGTATTATTTATCTAGACCAGTACAATGTTTTTTTGCCATTAGCGCTCAAACAAAAAAACAACATAAATGTCCCGCTGTATTTCGTAATACGCTGAAACACTAAATATCTGATGGGGAAGTAAAGCAAAGTAAAGTTTGCCAAACGCTTTCGCAAAGGGTGTGGTTACAAGTCGAAAAAAATAAGCAAAGAGTGCAAAGTGACTTCGTGATCCAGAAAGGAATAAGCAACAAAATAGCTAAAATGTTAATGTCTTATGTGAAAATAAAGTTTACCGAGCACACAAAAAATTAACTAAGAAAAAATAAAAATAAACACTTTCAGAAAAAAGTACTTTGTAAAATTCAAAAAGTAAGAAACGTGTGACGCATAGTATGATTTTCAATAGATCATGATTTACCTTAACACTGTAGTGAAGATAAAGTCTGTTCTTTTTCATGTATTCCTTGTGTGCAAATTGCTCGGACGATAAAAGCTGGCAGAAGTAAAGTCCGCTTTTAAGGGGCGTGGTCTGGAAATTCACCGAACGACACCAGGGAACGTTGATACACGCAAAAACACAGTCCATCTTGTCTTTGACACTGACTGACTTGTTCGGGTGAACGCCATCCACACCGTTTGGAAGAGAGAGTTTTTGTTTTGGATAAGCATCAAACAGGAGTCCAGACTCACGATTATAGTAGCTGACGCTGTGTTGCACACTCAACAAGACGGCTAAACCAGCTAAATAAGATGCGGGATGGAAACCCATCTTTTTCAATTGTCAAAATACAGTAATATTTGTTCCTTGTTCGGAAACATATCAAAAATGAAATAGACCGGTTCTAGGCACTCGCTCAATATATTTGATTAATTGATTGGATGTGTGAGCTCACTAGACTTATAAACAGTTTTCCCGACAGGACATTTTATTGTCGTGTTAAACAGGAATATATATATATCGTGCTAAAATTGATTTTTCTACAGGGGAATTATTCTTTTGAAATTACTCCATATCATTGGGAAATGATCCGTACAAACTGGTTTTACAGAGTTTAGGTTAACTTCATGTAAAAATTTTATTTCAAAGCTGAGAGAAAGACTTCTTCCATTTATTACGAAACTTTCTATTCAATACGAAACTTTTATGCATTAAAAAGTCTCCGAGGAGGGTCTTTAATTCGAATTACCAAATATCTAATCGATAAGTTAGGAAATATTTAGCCCTACAGTGAACTAGATTTCGCAACTTTTGCTAAAGCTCTCTCCATTCATCGAGCATAAAATTACAATAAAGACTAAAGATTTTGTATATGTTAYGATGCATTCATATATTTTTATACAAATGAAACTCGTCTATGTGANATCTTAGCAGGTCTAGTGTATGACAGTTTTAAAAGTATGTTTCTACCAGTTTCGAATTCTCTTTTGTGCAAGCTTAGCTTCAATCAAACATAGATTTTTATTGCCTTCTTTGTGCACATGATGTTTGCATAACAACAGGCTGTCTAGCTGCTGAATAAACAGAGAATATCTTACATGCTTGCGACGTTAAAGCTGCACAAATAAGATCTAGAAACTGGAGTATGATCCGTAATCTGGTAAGTTTGAAGACTTGTTTAGTTTACTTGCATATTGACTATTAATTCCAAATTGTACGAGAGATTGTGCGATTTTTTTGTTTATAGTACATTCAGCGAACAAAATTTYATTAGGAGTACAATTAACGCTGTAATTGTACTCCTCTCGACCAATGAAAAAGTATTAATTTTGTCGAATGTAATATTATAACATTTAAAACTGTTATTTTAAACTCTGGTTGCATTCATTACGAAACTTTCTATTTATTATGAAATTCTTATGCATTAAAAAGTCTCCGAGGAGGATYTTTAATTACCGAATGTCTAATTGATGATGAGGGATATATTTCGCAGTACGTTTTATCAGCTCATAAACCTATTCAATACAATGTTTGACTTTTTTTAAAGCTTTTTTCTATCTCCACTCATCGACCATAAACTGATAAATAGGTTAAGATTTCGTTTATGTTATGATGCATTTATATATTAATTTT